TCTGCTGGAGGAGAGTCCGCTGGAGGAGAGTATGCTGGAGGAGAGTCTGCTGGAGGAGAGTCTGCTGGAGGAGAGTCTGCTGGAGGAGAGTCCGCTGGAGGAGAGTCTGCTGGAGGAGAGTCTGCTGGAGGAGAGTATGCTGGAGGAGTGTCTGCTGGAGGAGAGTCTGCTGGAGGAGAGTCCGCTGGAGGAGAGTATGCTGGAGGAGAGTCTGCTGGAGGAGAGTCTGCTGGAGGAGAGTCTGCTGGAGGAGAGTCCGCTGGAGGAGAGTCTGCTGGAGGAGAGTCTGCTGGAGGAGAGTATGCTGGAGGAGTGTCTGCTGGAGGAGAGTCTGCTGGAGGAGAGTCCGCTGGAGGAGAGTCCGCTGGAGGAGAGTCTGCTGGAGGAGAGTCTGCTGGAGGAGAGTCTGCTGGAGGAGAGTCCGCTGGAGGAGAGTCTGCTGGAGGAGAGTCCGCTGGAGGAGAGTATGCTGGAGGAGAGTCTGCTGGAGGAGAGTATGCTGGAGGAGTGTCTGCTGGAGGAGAGTCTGCTGGAGGAGAGTCCGCTGGAGGAGAGTCCGCTGGAGGAGAGTCTGCTGGAGGAGAGTCTGCTGGAGGAGAGTCTGCTGGAGGAGAGTCCGCTGGAGGAGAGTCTGCTGGAGGAGAGTCCGCTGGAGGAGAGTATGCTGGAGGAGAGTCTGCTGGAGGAGAGTCTGCTGGAGGAGAGTCTGCTGGAGGAGAGTCCGCTGGAGGAGAGTCTGCTGGAGGAGAGTCTGCTGGAGGAGAGTATGCTGGAGGAGAGTCTGCTGGAGGAGAGTCTGCTGGAGGAGAGTCCCCTGGAGGAGAGTCTGCTGGAGGAGAGTCCCCTGAAGGAGAGTCCCCTGGAGGAGAGTCTGCTGGAGGAGAGTATGCTGGAGGAGAGTCCGCTAGACGAGAGTCTGCTAGACGAGAGTCTGCTAGACGAGAGTCTGCTGGAGGAGAGTCCGCTGGAGGAGAGTCCGCTGGAGGAGAGTCCGCTGGAGGAGAGTCTGCAAGAGGAGAGTCTGCTGGAGGAGAGTCTGCTGGAGGAGAGTCCACTGGAGGAGAGTCTGCTAGAGGAGAGTCTGCTGGAGGAGAGTCTGCTGGAGGAGAGTCTGCTGGAGGAGAGTCCGCTAGAGAAGAGTCTGCTGGAGGAGAGTCCGCTGGAGGAGAGTCTGCTGGAGGAGAGTCCGCTGGAGGAGAGTCCGCTGGAGGATAGTCCGCTGGAGAAGAGTCTGCTGGAGGAGAGTCCACTGGAGGAGAGTCCGCTGGAGAAGAGTCTGCTGGAGAAGAGTCTGCTGGAGGAGAGTCTGCTGGAGGAGAGTCTGCTGGAGGAGAGTCTACTGGAGGAGGAGAGTCTGCTGGAGGAGAGTCTGCTGGAGGAGAGTCCGTTGGAGGAGAGTTCGCTGGAGGAGAGTCCGCTGGAGGAGAGTTTGCTGGAGGAGAGTCCACTGGAGGAGAGTCTGCTGGAGGATAGTCCGCTGGAGAAGAGTCTGCTTGAGGAGAGTCCGCTGGAGGAGAGTCCGCTGGAGGAGAGTCCGCTGGAGGAGAGTCCGCTGGAGGAGAGTTTGCTGGAGGAGAGTCCACTGGAGGAGAGTCTGCTGGAGGATAGTCCGCTGGAGAAGAGAATGCTGGAGGAGAGTCTGCTGGAGGAGAGTCTGCTGGAGGAGGAGAGTCTGCTGGAGGAGGAGAGTCTGCTGGAGGAGGAGAGTCTGCTGGAGAAGGAGAGTCTGCTGGAGGAGGAGAGTCTGCTGGAGGAGGAGAGTCTGCTGGAGGAGGAGAGTCTGCTGGAGGAGGAGAGTCTGCTGGAGGAGGAGAGTCCGCTGGAGGGGGAGAGTCTGCTGGAGGAGGAGAGTCTGCTGGAGGAGAGTCCGCTGGAGGGGGAGAGTCTGCTGGAGGAGGAGAGTCTGCTGGAGGAGAGTCCGCTGGAGGAGAGTTTGCTGGAGGAGAGTCCGCTGGAGGAGAGTCCGCTGGAGGATAGTCCGCTGGAGAAGAGTCTGCTGGAGGAGAGTTCGCTGGAGGAGAGTCCGCTGGAGGAGAGTCTGCTGGAGAAGAGTCTGCTGGAGAAGAGTCTACTGGAGGAGAGTCTGCTGGAGGAGAGTCTGCTGGAGGAGGAGAGTCTGCTGGAGGAGGAGAGTCTGCTGGAGGAGGAGAGTCTGCTGGAGGAGGAGAGTCTGCTGGAGGAGGAGAGTCTGCTGGAGGAGAGTTTGCTGGAGGAGAGTCTGCTGGAGAAGAGTCTGCTGGAGGAGAGTCTGCTGGAGGAGAGTCCGCTGGAGGAGAGTTCGCTGGAGGAGAGTCTGCTGGAGGAGAGTCTGCTGGAGGAGAGTCAGCTGGAGGAGGAGAGTCTGCTGGAGGAGGAGAGTCTGCTGGAGGAGGAGAGTCTGCTGGAGGAGGAGAGTCTGCTGGAGGAGGAGAGTCTGCTGGAGGAGGAGAGTCTGCTGGAGAAGAGTCTGCTAGAGGAGGGTCCGCGGTACATCGCGCCAAACGATTTTAATGACACATAA